TTCAATTAACTTGACTTGACTAGCCAATAAATCGACAGCTCGTATGAGTTTATTGTTGGCACCAATTAAAGCTAAAGTTTTGCAAATAAGTATATGTTGGATATCAATTGTCACAAAACGTGACATTTTAATTTAAATGTGCATGTTAAAATATTAAATGATTCAAAACTGTGTAGACTATACTGCAGTGAAGGTTTTTGCTGCCTTACCTACTTATAAAGGATATAGTTAAAAAGTTGCCGATAAATATTTGACATCCATGTCAATACACTTTTCTATTAATAATCACAGCCCAATAAGTATAAATTCTATAGTTTATCATTAATTACTTATCCCTTATGTGCACATCGATTAAGTTTGAACCAATTTATGTTTGCCAGTTGCCAAGAAATATGCAAAATTATTAAATGCTATCTATGGCTTACATAATATTATACAGAAGCATTCCGAATTTTCCGAAAAATGTAAGCATGTAAGATTTCTATCGAAAAACCGACGACTATTTACAACCAATCTCATACAATTTCAATTACTGCTTTATTAAGACTGTGTAAATAGGATAAGCACCAAAATGTGAAACTTCATCTCTCTGTTTAGGCGATTATGTTTGGTCAAAATGGAGTTACAGCACGCTGTGGATGTGGTTACAGCTATAATACAGACTTCCCTCTGGCAAACAAAACACAATAATTGTTGTGTTTGTGTGTGTGTGTCACACACAATAAACTGGCGAAACTGAATGCCAAAAAAAGCAATTTCGCATAAAAGCCACAACAGACAAGACCAGAGGAAAGCATTCCGCCCACCCTGCACTGAAATGGCGCACACAACAGCCGCAGATTCATTCCCAATGACAGACGCACATATGAAAATAATGCGTGGTGAACATTTTCAACGCAGTTACACAATGCACAGGACATAAGCTCCCAAATAACTACGCACCCAACCTTTTTACGAACACGAAAAGATTGTCCATTGTCAAACTGGAGGACAATACCAAAAATCTCATACTGGTTGGCAAATTAGCATAGATGTAGAAATGTGTGAAGCAATTACCAAAGCACAACACAAACTCTGCTTCTCCTAGCCACAAAACCCTTCAAATAAACACTGAGCTACCCCTTTGGGTAATTACAGTTTAAATTGCATTCGAATGCATGTGGATCGCTCGGCATTAAGTGGCGCCCAACAGTGGTTGTGCTCGGTTTAAAAGTGTCTCGGCCTGGTCTAAAGCCTAATTCAATTGTTTGTCAATCATATGTATAATTAAGAGCCACAGCCAATTTACTTCTTCGTCAACCCTCAAGATGAATATTTTTGCCCCTCGTGATTGTTTTTTGCGGTTGCAACCAAAAATAAAAAATAACAAATTTTCATGCTGAAAGCTGCTGCCCTTATCTGCAAGTCTGTGTGGGAATTCGGTAAGTGCCTGGGTCTTTTTTGGGGTGGCTTGCATTTTACAACCCTTAACCCTAAATCCTTAACCCTTGCCGTGATGCCCCCAACTGCAGTGCTCCCCCATGCATTTTAATGCCAACATGTTTTGCGGTTAATGCCACAATTAAGTGACTTGTCAATTGGTTTGTCAATTGCGAAGTGGGTCTGAGATTTTGATTGAAGGCGGTTGCTCCGCATAAACCGGGATTCCTGGAATAATTTAATTGATTGTCAACAAGCTCAAGCTGGGCTTACAGTCTATAATATAATAAAACTAAGCAAAAGTACAAATACGAATTTACTATCAATAGATGTTCAACTAAATAAAAGGGGCAGTCAAATATTGATTAAAATAATGTTATCCTCCATAGAATAACAAGGAGCAAGAGCTGCTTTTAATTTTAATTTTAAATTATGTGTTAACCATTTACGAGTATAGCAGAACAGCTCTGCAAATTGTTTAATTCAAGTGACCATGGAGATCAAGAATTCCGGAATGTGTATGAATATGACAAAATCACATAAACTAAGTTTTAAATATTTGGTTTGCCAGCTAAAAAGGTTTTTGGTTGGTCTAAATATAATCTATACAACAATATTTAAACCGAATAAATTTTATTTGCAAAGAACTTTATAAATATTTTCAAACAATTATTGAATTTGGCACATTAATATTACGGATCACTGAAAGTCAACCGCACAATTTCGACATTTCGTAAAATTTTGTGGTACCATTTGTTGCATAATCCATTATGGGGGAAATAGCTACGCTTATTTGTTTAGACAACATGCAGAGGCGAGCGTAGATAAGCTCGGTCCATGGCCCAAAATAACAATGCCTGTCATATTTGCACAGTGATTTTCTATGGACAGGAAGCTGGGGTTCGCCTGTGCCCAAGCCGCCCCGCGCCCACCTCTGTTAAGGCTTTGCAGTTTTGGGGCAAGTCCTTTGTCAAAATGCGGCTTAAAATATTTTGCGCAAATATTTTTACGACAGGTGCATGAAACGTTGACAGCGTGTCCTAGGCGTGCGAGAGTGTGTGTGTGTATTAGTGTCAACTTGTCATATGTGGATTTTACGTACATGTCTGCACTATGCATATGCATGAATATCTATTTATATGTGCATACATTGTTGTTGTGCCTAAAACCCGTTAATGAAAGGCGCTCAACTTAATGGAGATTTATTGTTTTCCACGTGTTCTGTCATAAAATGTTGTTTTTGCTGTCGTTGTCGTTGTTGTTTCTGTCATTTGTATTACTTTTCACTCTTTATCACTCTGGCCAAATCTTTATTTCATCGTGTGTCATCCGTTCTGGTTGGTGTCTACTCCATGTATTTTATACAGTTATTTCCATCGTTAATTTGCGCTTAGCCGAAAAGAAATGATTTATTGACCAGGGCCAGTTGCGTTCTGATAAGGTTTATGGCGTGCTCTATGTGAATTCCGGAATTAGTTGTATTGCGGAGGTGTTAAGCAGTAAACAGTCTCCTGATTATCACAAGTGTATCGATTGATCAAAATGTGACGTTACAAAAGTGCGCTTGAAACGACTCTCATAAAAAATTCAACGTATATTAAAGTTGTATTTCACAAGCCAATAAACATATTTTTCTAACTAACCCCAATTTTTTTTTTACAATATATAAATTTAGCAAAGCATATCCTCTTTTTAAAGCTTCATCCATTCATCATCTATCGTCTTTATGAAGTTCGTGTTTGCAAATTTTGTATGTGGGTTTCAATGTTACATTTTGCTCTAGTTAATTTCACACCTTACATATTCTCATAAACCCCACTTAGCTCTACTTTGAATTTCATATATAGGCCAGTTGCAGTAACATTTTCTCTTGACATATAGAGGTACACGCATATTTAAGCATATTATGTAACTAGGCATCCTCTATGTTTCCAGTTAATTGCAACTAAAAGCTAGCAAAGAGAAATTGTGTGCAATAGACAGCTTTGTCTTAAATATGTCAATCAGTGGAACTGGGCCAAAAGCAATGCTCATTAGCTATTCAATTCACACCCAATTTCATTTGCATTTGCTCAACAATAACAAAAGCAGGATAAATAAAAGGAAGAGCTCGTAATGGTAGCGATAATAGAATGAAGGAGTTGGTACTAATTAGTATGGGGTAGCAATTAGCAGTAATTAAATCATATTCAAAACATGACCGCCTGCTGTTACTGCTGCTGTGAGTGTGTTTATTCAAAAGCAGCTCCAAGGACTTAACCACGCACCGGCGTAAACTTTAGCGATTTGCTTTTGACCTGCCACAAGACGAGTCAAATGAATGACACGGCAGACAGAAAGACAGGCGGGACAGACACAGGAGCAGCTCGAGCCAAGTTGGAACAGAATGTCCTGGCTGGATGCAACCAAGCGGCGTCCACTTGACACACATAACCGCGAGCAAGCAGCTCCTAGCGCCCATCCAACCCTCTCTCAAGAAGGCGAGTCAACAATGCGCCAGGCTTGAGCTGGTTGGAAGGGTGGCTTGCGCTGGGGTTGGGTTTTATGTGGCATGGACTGTGGCTCTGTCTGTGGTGCTCTTGGCGTTCGTCTATCGCGTTCCGGTTGCGGGCAACACCTTTTTAGCCAAGTAAAGGATTTTCCACGCTGCAGATAAAATCGTTCACCGCAAAACTTGTGCAGTTTTCGGTTTGCCGTGATTTCGACGTGGTTGCTTGAATCTTTTTTTTTTTTTTTTTTTTTTTTTTTTGTATACCCTTTACCCAAAACTTACTTTTGCGCAGGATTTATCTTAGAAAATCACCTTTCATTAAAAATATATTTATGAAAATTAAATAAGTAAAAATAAGGTTGTTGAATTAAATGTTTTCAGTCTTATAATAATATTAAATATTTCATAAGAGTCGTATGATAAAAAATGTCATACTTTCAGGTCACTGTATTCTTTAGGGTGCAGTAGTAAATTGAGACATGGCATACTATGTATAGGGTATTTTGTGTTTGAGCATTTTCCAGCTTATTGTTCTTTAGGTTTGTCATTTAAATTCTAAGCTTTTGAACCGAACCTTATAGCTTTATGCCATGTTTAGGTATAACTCGTTCGCTTTTATGCGCTCTGTCACGTCTTGCATTTCTTTGAAAACTGTAACTATTTATTTTATTTGTTTTTTTTTTTGTTTTTGTAAAGGTGTAAGTAACAGCAAAAGAATTTTTGATGTGCCGCCCACAAAATCCACACAGAAATTAAGTGCTTAAATGGCTTCTGACAGCGCCCATGGATGTTTAGTAAAAGCCAAAAATAAACAAAAAATTGAATGAATCCCATGAAATGTGAGCGTTAATTTCGCTTGAACTATCTTGAATATCAAAATATCTCAAATGAAAATAAACATTAACTTTTTGGGACATGGCGGACGACACTCAATTGCCAGTTTGGCGCCTTTGGGCGCAACTAACACTGCAAATAAAACTAATTGAGTACCTTGCTTTGCTCTCTGTGTATCTTTTACTTGTTTAGTGTACATATATTTCCCTTTACTCTCTATAAACTCACTTATTTACCATGTTTCTTATCTTTACAGTCAAGGCAGTTGGGCGTCTGGCAGCTGGTTTCTCAAGTCTGCGAAGTTTTCTGTTTCTTTTTCTGTATTGCGCTCACATCAAATGTAAGTGTTAATTTATGCTGTAGCATACTTTTTGGCGTTAGCCAACCCATAAACAGCAAATAAATATATATTGAAGTGTGTTTGGATGTAGCCAGATCTGGGCATTAAATGAACCTTTAGAGGTTCAATTGACAAATTATTTGGAAACATGTTCGTTTGAGACCTTTTCGGTAGTTGATGCCTTTGAGCTGTTAGCAAGCAGCTTATAAAGAAGATAAATTGTTGGTATCTGAATCATTTGACTTTAATCCTTATTGCAAACTGATATAACTGGAGGAATTAAATCAAAGGGCTTCTCGGAGTACCCCAAAACAGACGAAGCTTTGTCAATTCAAAATAGAACTTTTATTGTGTTTAGTAATTTTTAAGACTTTGTTACCTGTATATTTATTCTGCATCTAAAACGAATTTCATTTATGAATGCAAATATTTTTTTTTTAAATTTTGAAACTTTTCACTTGAATTTTTATTACCACTAAAAAAAAATTACAAAAGTTTCGCTGGAAAAATGAAAATCCATTGTTGCATAGAAGGGTAATTGCGGTCGTGGTTCGACCAGTAAATTGATATAACATTTAAATTAATTTATTTTATATAAACTAAATTTGTTAATTGTATTAACGGGGCTTTAAATATTATTTTTCAATTTATTTTAAATTTCAAAGTAGGTATTAAACCCACTACCTATAACAGTAATATCAATCGTGATACCCGTAACCTTTTATTATTAGGCATCTTTTTGCTTTTTGAATAAATTTTGACATATTTTTTTGTGGGTTGATTTGCATTTATTCCGTCAGGCTCTTATATTATCTGTCAACCGTAGTCAAATCAAGCCCAAAATATATATATTGTTGTGAATGAAAAATGAGATGAAATGAGCAGAAATGAGAAATGTAAAGTGTCTTTATCGCTTCAGCCCTTAGAAAACCATTTCATTATGCATAATATGGACATTTTTTGCGCCAAGGACTTTTTTATTGGAGTGGACAGGGTCGGGGGCTCGGATTCCATAAACTTATTTGTGCTGGATGTCTGAATAAAAATGCAAATACTGTGCCACTATATTTTTTGTTGGTGTTTTGTTAGCCAGCCTAGATATCCATTTGGCTTATTGTCAGCTTTTGACAGTTGATAAACACATCATCAAAATAGTTGATGTATATAAGGCTTTTGCAAAGTCCAACTTTTGACCCCGACTGGCTGCTGTTTGCTGCCTCTGCCTAGTAGCTTCAATATCAAATCAAATTTCTTTTTCCAGCAATTTATTTGTCTTATATATGTATATATACTTTATTTTACTGCACAAATATTTGACTTCCACAACAACAATAGCAACGATGGCGTTGACAAGAAGGCCAAGAAACCAACAGCGACATCCAGCGACAACATTTGACATTTTGTTTTTATTATTTTTGTTGGCCTGCCCTGTCTGTCTGTATATACGTCCTCCCGCCACTGATACTCCACCCCTTCTCCCTCAAATTCCCCCATCACACTCTCTCGTTGGTTTGGCAAAAAACATGAAAATGCGATTTTTAGTTTTTGCCGTCCTGCCAGTGTTGGCAGCGGCATTGTTTTTCCGTGTGTGCTTATACCCTGTAATAAATATATATCAGAAAGATTCTATTTTGACTTTAACATAAATATATGTACTTCCCGGTCGATATAACCCTAAGTTTGAAGCATTCATAAATATAAATATAAAAATTACTCAAGACACTGGTAAAAATATAATATTTTATATCTTATTTGTGAAGGATATCATATTACATCCTGACTTTGCTTTAACGTGTTTTAATTTAAAGAACACATCGCATTACAGGGTATAGCATAGTCACTAACTCTCTGCTGGTTCTGTCGTTGTTAGCAACGGATCTCCATCATGATGGTACGCTAATAGTATTTGCCGCTTAGGGATTTTCCTTTTTAGCGCCACGCACGAGCCAGATTTTGTATATATATTTTTGTTTCCAAAGCCTAACGCTGTCTGCCAGATATACCGAAATCCCATCTGACACATTATAAATGTATTGCTTTAGGGTTTCACATATCAGAATACCAATAAATTGGGAAATATTCAATTATGCCAACTGATCCGCGAAGTATATATATGAGGTATATATATATTTGTGCTTTGTGTAGATTTCAAAGCTTAAATAACTTTTGAAATAAAGAGGAAATGAGCAAGAAATTGAAATCTGTTTTCGTTAAGCTCGTCAATCCTTTTAAAGTTTGTATTTTATATTCTGTGATTTGTGATTATTATGTTTTTACATTAAAATAAAATTAAGTGCCCCAGTAAGAGATACTTTTTACCCAGAGCCGAGCTGCCTTTGTAAACATTCTTTCGTTTTTACATATATATATATAAGTACATATACACACATGCAAACACACAAGTTCACACGTTTCTTCTTCCCTTTACCCCACTATATGCTCTTTCTTCAAAAATTAAACAAATTTTTTTTTTTCATTTTGGAAAGTGAAAAGTAATAATAATATTTTATTAATTCTATAGGATCTGGAGTTTCTAGCTATTATAGCATCTGAGTTAAGCTTAAGAAAACTTCTTCTAAAATTAATACATAACATTATTAAAAAAATAAAATTATTAAATTTATTCCAATTAATATATATTTTGAATTACATATATACGTATGGTCAGACGGACGGACGTGGCCAGGTCGACTCAGGTTTTCGTCATGATTGCGAACATGTTTACTTTATGGGGTCGGAAAGTTTACTCTTTTTACCCATTTTCAATGTGTTAAGTGTTTATTAAATACTTAGAACCAAACTTAATTTAAGCCAAATATGCTTCAATCTTAAGGACATCTAAATGGCGCATACAATTTATCTATATTCTCCTCATAACAAAATTGAATAGTATAAAGAGCCCTGCCTGTTAAATATAAAGTATATTAAATATTTACTGATTCCGCAAATGATCAGTTGCAAGTGGAATAATGGATAGATACTTTTCTTCCTTTTTTTATAATATAATTTTATATAATTTTTCCGGGATTTATACGGCACGTGCTGCTCTATGGAGTAAGTTTTAAATAATTTACATTGCTACGGTTAAATGTGCTTTAAATATATCGAATAACCAAACCTGACGCCGAGTAACCGTATCGCAACTGACTAATGGCAAATGATTAAACAGAACCACAATACGACTAGACCCAAAACAGAGCCCACAGGCATTTCTAGTCATAAATTAGCCCCGAAAAATGCATGAAGAGGAAAGTGGAAAGCGGCACCAAAAACAAACTGCACGTAAAAACGTCTGTTTTTCCTATAATTGGCCACATATTTTGCTGGTTTGGCCCCAACCACGTTACCCAGATAGGTAAAATAACCGAAAATGTAAGCTTTGGCAGCAGGCAACTAGAATATGTTGGCTGGGCTGTGCCCCTGTATCTGGGCGGTGATTGGTCGGTTAGTTTGGCTTGCATTCGGCCAACTGGGGCACAACGGGCTTATCAATATATATATTTTCGACAAGATGGGCTCCTGAAAATGGGTAACGTGTGCTCAATACTGTCCCAGGTTGATGTTTGTAATGGAAATCCTTTACAGAGCAGTCCAGTCATTTTCCCAAATATACAGCTTTGAAGCGCAGTGGCAGGGTTGACATTTATGGAAATGAGCCTTTAAAATATTTGAGGATCTAGAAAAAGGGCAGTCAAAAATAAAAAGTATGTGAACTACCAACACATATTAAATGAAGCTGGACAGATAAATTTTCTAAATATATTTTCTAGCAAAAAAAAAAAAAATGTATTAAAAAATAATAATGGGTTAAAATATGTTGAATACTCTTGCATATATATAATAGTCTTGGAATATTTGAAAATATAAGATTCTATACTGTTAAATTAAATTAAAAATGGATCTTCAAAGTAGATTAAGATATCAGAAATAAATGAAAAGGTTTCGATATAAATAATAAAATATAATAACTACATGGCCTAAAAGTTCTATTGAAAATTAAGTTAAATTTAGAAAAAGAGTAAAGCGATAAGGCGGAATCGTAAGGCGAGTAATAGGTTTTTATGGTTTGCAGTCATGATTAATATATATTTGTATATATTTTCAGGAAAGGATATGCACTTTCTTTGTAGTGAATGCTTTTTAATTTCATCGAAGTGTTTTTTTTAACAATAAAATGAAAGAAATGTTTACGAGTTTGAGGAAGAAGAGAATTCGTCGATAAATTAAATTGTGAAGAGTTGAAGTACTTTTTAAGAAAATAATTTTTGTTTGTTTTATTCATTCAATATTCGCAAGTCACAGGCCGTAAAAATTGATAATAAAGTAAATAATATTGTTTGCTTAATTTGCTTAAGTCCAAAAAAGTATACAGTGTATATTGATTAATTTTGTTATTGGTATTTTTAGTGAGGGAGATTTTAGCTACTTTTATGTTATTTATTGCACATCAATTAAGTATTTAACTGTGGAGTATTTCTTGTTTGCCAAAAAGCAATTTAAAATTTTAAAGCCAAACAAATTTAAATGTAATTTATTGAAGCAATGAAATGTCATTATGGTTTATTGAGTTAAATAAAATAAAGTGAGTGTGTTCATGTTGCAGTTAAGAGTGAAAGGGAAACACAAATTGGCAGATAGACGACGACTAAGAAGACGAGTCAGAGGTAAACTAGAAACCGAAGCAGCTGGCAAATAAAAAGCTGCCAATTCAACAGACGACACACAAGCTGTAGGGCCAAACGCAAAGGCGAAGACAACACTGAAACATATTGGCAAAAGTCGTTTTTTTGCAGTCGTTATAAAACAAACACGGGCAGACAGACGAACAGGCAGACATAAAGACAGACAGGCAGACAGACGAACAGACAGACATACCGACAGACAGACGGACATGCACAATGCAATTCTTATAATATGAAAGTTTACATAAATGTTTTCTTTGCAAATATAAACGAAAAGATGGCAGCAAGGAGTTTGACAGGCGGACTGAGCTGGAAATC